CAGCTAAACCATCTTAATACAAATGATAAAATGTCTGAAATCCTTGCAAGGCTGCCTCATACGTCAGGCTGCGAGCAGCCGCGTCCAGCAGCCTGGTTGACCAGTCCAGCAACCAGGAGGCCTGGTCGATGACCGGGCCGCGGGGTCGCTAAGCCCCGGAATCACCTCAAGGTAACCTCAAGGTAACCTCAAGGTATTTTGGCTTCTAGTAGACAACCGACACACTAAGGCACAGTATAGTGCGGAGACTAATAATAACACCCAGCTTTATGAGCCTGTAATAACCCCAAATATAAAATGTGTTATCAAAATATCAAAATATCAAAATATCAAAATATATATATATGTTTGTGTTATCAAAAGGCCTACATTCAATGTACAATAATTTATTGTAAATACATAGATATTGTGGGGGGAAAAATGTCTACTGACATTATAATTATAAGGTGTGAAGGTTACATGTAATTGTTAATGTAAAAATCTCCATTGAGGTCTGATTAAGACCTTTTGTGCCTTCTGTAATCTCATACTATTTTTTTTGCGCTACCGCTCGCAAGATGAGTATGGGGTGCACAATAAACTACCACTCACAGGATGAGTATGGGATGCACAATAAACTACCACTCACAGGATGAGTATGGGGTGCACAACAGACTACCACTCACAGGATGAGTATGGGGGCGAACTAGCCCCACATAAAACTAGCAGCCTCCAGCGGCACCAACAAACGCCACTGGAGACAAGAACATAACAGAAATTAAACGTAGCAATAGAGGTGAGTGCAGGCTACGCACGCTACAGATGCAAGATACGACGCATGATTGGCGTACGGGGTAAGCAAGGTAAGGGAGGGACGGGAGGTAGCGTGCTACGACGGTCCAGCAAGTTCTCACAGTGTTAAGACCGCTGACATAAGCGTAGTAACGCCACGCAACCCTACGCGCTGTAACTACCCCAAATTCACACACTCTTTCTACACGCAACACTCTACGATGAATGGTAATATTATTACAGCAACAGGAACGGTAATAACTACAACGGGGGAGGGGTCATGGACGCACAACAACGGGCATTTTTGGGGGTGATACATCGAAGTGGCTACACTAGAGCCCAGTAGGCTCAGGAACCTGTACATTAGTTGATTGACAGTTGAGAGGCGGGACCAAAGAGCCAAAGCTCAACCCCCCCCCCGCAAGCACAATTTGGTGGCTACACGTACATGCCTCCGGGGTACGTACTCACCCAACTAGGTGAGTACGTACCCCGGAGGCGTGCCACACGTCACCCTTGAGACAGGTGTGAACGTGCACGACGACAATATAATTAGTATAAACGTGGAGGTGTCGACAGATAGACACAGCACCACTCCTGTGCCAGGTAAGTCCACTACGGCTCATATAGCCTGTGCTATTTGCCCTGCTCCTGTGCCAGGTAAGTTACGGGCTCACCATAGCCCGTGCTACTTGGAACTTGTTCCGAGTAGCTGAATCTATAACAACAACAATGGAGGTGTCGTCGTTACAGTGAGCAGTTGCAGTGAGCAGGACCCGGCGGGAGGCGAGGCTGGCCTACACCCCACACTCTACACCCAGTATGGCAACGAAGGTTTTTGCCATGACAAATTCCTACCAGTACTTTGCCTCCAACACCACCACAAGGGGGCAGGCAACTGGGCACACTGACTGATGAAGATTATGCCACCCCAAGAGGTGGCACGGGCATGAGTAGCCCCTATGTGGCTGGTTGTTGTTTTAGATTTAGCTACTCGGAACGAAATGGCCATGTAGCACAGGCTATAGTGAGCCCGTAACAGTAAGTGGTATATGCCTGGCAACATGGATGAAGATTAAGCCACCCAAGAGGTGGCACGGGCATGAATAGCCCGTAAGTGCCTGGCACTATATCTTACACTAAAATACCGCCTCTCTCTCATCACCTCACCTCATCATGTGAGGAGAAACTCTCTCTCCTCAATCATCACCTCACCGACGGGGTAACCTTTTCTTTATCTGTATCGACACCGTCCTCTTCCACACTCGCACCTCCCCCCCCCCTCCCCCACTCTTCAAAGAATTTAACATCAGACCCTGAGGACCCTCCCCCTGCCCCCCCTCCCCTCCGGAGGTGACTCGCCGTGTGTTATCACCTCCAGAAAGCACCCCCTCCCCCCTCCCCAACTGGCAGGGGGCGGCGACCAGTGGCGAGCAACAGAACTAACTCTACATCGCACACAGTTTCTTCATCCCTTGTGTTTATTATGTAATCATTGAGACGATAATGACCACGATATTCAGGTCATGTTTACTGAGAGCTCTTTCTCTCCCGGCCCCCTCCCTCCCTCTCTCTTTTCTTTCCCTCCTCTCCTTCCAACTCTTCCTTCTCATCCCGTCTGCTTCTCCCAGCAGCGTCCTTCCGGAGAAGAAAGTAAGGGACAGAGATGCTGACTGTTATATATAGAAGAAGAAGACAGCAGAATATAAAATGTTTTCAGGTTAGACAACACATTGAGAAATTTGAATACACGAGAACATTCAAGGGAAGAAGAGCAGGCTTAAATGTTCAGGAATACAAAGAGGTATTTACCCAGAGGGACGTGACAAAGACGGCGAGCTTCACCTGCAGAAAGACAAACAGGGATGTGGAGCCCACATCCTCCAGTTCGACAACATTAAGGGCAACCCCAACAGTAGCATAGATCATCCCCCTCCCCACACCCCTAACTGTATCTCCAACCCCATACAGTCAGTCTACACCCCACCCTCCAGCCCTTCATACAACAAGGCTAGTAAGTGGGGCATAAAGAGCTAGACCCGACTTTCCTGTAGTCGTTATTAGGTCAGCACACCCCCTCCCTATTCCTGCACCCCCCTATCCTCTCCCCAAATTCCCCCCCCCCCATGTAGTAGAATATCACACACAATCCTCCTTTCCCACCTCCTCTTCAAACTCCTCCACCCCCCGTTGCCATATACCATACTACCACCACCACAGAGAAGTCATCCACCCAAGATGGATGATGAGGGAGCTGGAAGGTGAGAATGCATGAAAAATTGGTGTGGGTTAAAGTCACGTATACCAATACTGCTGGAATTTCAGAGTGAATGAACTCGAGGAACACACAATTAAAGATAACCTTGATGTAATTGCACTCGCAGAAACGAAAATGTCAGGCATCATAATTATAATGCAGTATTCTCCCCATTTGCTCTGCTGTTATTGTGATTCATGTAATTAATGAACTGTAGTTTTTATGTAAGCTTTCCAGTCATAACTGTACAACCATTTATGAATATAGCTTTTGATTCGATTTAATTGAAGACAAAGGAGGGAGAGTAGCACTAGTGATCAAGAAGGATCGGACATTTAAGGAGCTGCGGACCAAAGGCTTTGAAGGATTCAGTGACTATATAAAATGAGCATATATGACTAGTGGGACTCGGATAATAGTAGCAGTGATATACAGTACTCCACAAAACGACAGAAGACCCAGGCAGGAGTATGCCTGAAATAATTAGGCATTAATTGCTATCCTGCCTGTAGGGGCCTGAGAACTGAGTGGACAGTGCTTCGGATTCGTAGTCCTGAGGTTCAGGGTTCGATCCCCGGTGGAGGCGGAAACAAATGGGCAGTTTCTTTCACACTGATGCCCCTGTTACCTTGCAGTAAATAGGTACCTGGGAGTTAGACAGCTGCTACGGGCTGCTTCCTGGAGGTGTGCAACAAAAAGGAGGCCTGGTTGAGAACCGGGCCGCGGGGACGCTAAGCCCCGAAATCATTACAAGAAGATAACGATCCTGGAAAGAGATGCCTCAACTGCAAACATGATTCTAAATCGAATCTTGATTGTGGAGGACTTCAACTATGGTAAAATAGATTGGGATAATAAGAAACAACATGGGGGGGATCTGTCAAAAATACCATGAAAGTGAACTCGAGGGAAGTTAAATCCGTAGCATTATGGAACACGATGAACTTTAGGCTCCACATCAACATGGATTTAAGCCAGGAAGATCCTGCTTTTCGCAATTACTCAAGTACTATGTTAACCTGAAGGAAGCATTAGAAGAAAACACAATGCAGATATTGTATACACGGACTTTGCAACTTCATTTGATAAATTTTTACAGTGGAGAGTCCATATAATGAAATCCATAAGAATAATAGGTAGATTAGGGTGACGGATATTCAATTTTCTGACAAAAAGAATGCAAAGAGTTATAATCAGTTAAGCAAACTCAAGACCAAGCATAGTGGAAAGCTCTGTACCTCAGGGCACAGTACTTGCACCACTGCTTTTTCTCACATCAGAGATAGACAAAAATACCAGTCACAGTATCATCGTGTCATCTTTCGCAGACGATACAAATATCAGCATGAAAGCCGCCTCGGTAGAAGACTGAAAACTACAAGAACTTCAAGCCGATATCAACTGGGCACCATAAAATATCATTATGGTTCAACAGTGATAAATTCCAGATACATAATTCAATATGATACAAATTCTGAACTTGAATGATAAAGTACAAAACACAATCATATCTCACAGAGGGAAAACATGTAAAGCATCCGGGAATAATGATGCCAGACGACCTAACATTTAGTAACCACAACCAAGTAAGTAATTACCAAAGCAAAATAGCCACAACCATCAAACAAGGCATTAGCCAGCAACATGACAGTGTGGATTATGAGATCCTACAAACCCAGGAATTGCAACAAAATGATCTTACTATTCAAATCACTGGTGCTTTCCCGCCTTCAGTACAGAAGGGAAAGCATTAATAAATTAAACTAATATTTCTCCTCAAATTCACGCATTACATATTTTCATACCACCATAAGCTTTCAGTGAACAGCAAGTTGGCGTTTAGTAAACAGTCCCCACTTGAATTCGTATGTAAAAAAATATATATATTGTGATAGTGTGGGATAGACATGTACATGGCTTTGCATGTTGGAAAATGAGAGGGGGAAGGTGACCAAGGTGGTCTGGCGCTCACCTGTACACGCGGCCAGGGGTAAGCAGTCTCCTCCTCTGATAATGACGACGATGATCTCAAGGAGAAAGTGGCGGCTGGCTCCAAGAGCGGCCGCTGGAGAGATTTGAACCAGTCACAACAGCTACGTCAAACGTTTTCTATCGCAATTGCACACTGCGAGACCTGGCCATTACCGAGGCGTTTCTCTAGTTTTCATATTTATGGAAAGCGAAAGCAAGAAGTGTCTGTGAGACTTTATTGTTCATGTAGTATTTTCAATGGAGTGATCGAATCACTCAGTCCCATGAAAAACTTTGGTTCCCTTAGTGCAGTTCTGGATCACAGCGTATGATGGGACACAAGACACCGCTTGAAGGGGACCACAGCACAAGACACGCTCAGTGGCATCACAATGTGCATGAAGGCGCCTCGCCGCTACAAACACGACACACCCTTAAGAGCAGACGAGGCGGGACTGACCTACCCGCGCTGCCCCTCACACCACGACTGACCATCACTCCCCGCCCGGGGTCTCCTTCTGCCTGTAATGACCTTCGCCTCGCCACACACACACACGCACGCACGCACGCACCCACCTACACAGTGGTGTGTTGGCCCCGCTCCGCTGAGCCTCTTCCCACCTTCTCAGTTCGTCCATACATGCTGCTTAGCATTATTACAACATCATCCCTAGACAACGTTACCGGAAATCACAACGTTAGACTAAAATAAAGTTCTCATATACTCCAGGCCTCTGGCGGTGTGCAGTTTGTTCATGTGAACAAACCGTATATGAGACGCTCTGTTAGGGGGACCACATTGGTACTTTCTTGCCCTCAACACCCACCGCTGAAACTCTGCGGCAGCAGTACTTAAAACCCACTCCAGACCAAGAGTTCTTCTGACAAGACCTGTCAGCAGCCTCCGTTCTCGGGAAAGTTACTAAACACGCCTCGGTAAGGGCAGCCGTCTACCAATGTCTAGGACGAGACTTCTTCGGGGTAAATGGCCTGGTTAGTGGCTGCTGATCCTGAGGAGGATGAAGGTGTTCCTCCAGCATGTGCCTGGCGGGGCTCCAGCAGAGTGACGCCACCTTCCCGTCTCATTAATGAGGTGTCCATCATATCTACACTCCCAGGCCCCCCCACACCCTCTCCATCCGTGACACGCCGCCAGCCGCTGTGTCACGCAACACTGTCACGATGTGATGGGTTACAGCCGCCTCATCAGAGAGAGACGCTCTACAGGTTACGTTACGTAATATTCCCCTTTCCTTGGGGAATACTGCGTAATATATTTTCGTAATTCTAAGGAAACCAAAACGTCTTGTCTTTTCCCTTGTTTATGCGTGTGATGCTTCCGAGTATCAATGTCCCCGAGGTCCGGTCTCCGACCAGGAATCCTGGTTGGTGGCCTGCTCAACCAGGCTGTTGGATGCGGCTGTCGGCAACTTGACGTATGATTCAGAGCCTGGTTGATCGGGTATCTTTTAGAGGTGTTTATCAAGTTTTCTTTTGAGCACTGTGAGAGGCTGGCCAGTTATGTCCCTTATGTGTAGCGGGACCGTCTTGAAATGTCTTGGACCATTGATAGTGATAGTTATCTTTATCCATCCATCCTTTCATCTATTCATTCCTCTATTGCTCTATCCATGTATCACTCCATCTACTCATCTATCTACCTACTGTCTATCTCTGTCTCCTTCCCTCGCTGTCTCTCTCCTTCCCTCTCTGTCTCTCTCCTTCCCTCTCTGTCTCTCTTCCTCTTTCTATCTCCTCTTCTCTCTCTAATTTTCCATCCCCCTCTCTATCTCATTATCTCTCTCTGCCTCTCGTTATCCCTCCCCACTATCTCTCTCTCTCTCTGTATAGGAAAAGAAACTTTTGAATACTTTTGTTTTCAAATTAAATAATTACTAATTGCTTCGTACCCAAGTTGGTGGAGCCGCCCGGCATGCATCAACCCGTTCTCCTAATACCACGCCACATTTTGACATAATTTACCTAAGACCAAAAATTGATGTACAAAAAATGGTAGCAGGTCGCGAAATTGATGTGATGTCCCGTTTTCTGTTCGTGGGTTCTCGGGTGGGTTAGGCTTGAGCACTTTAATAGAAGAGTTTAATAATGTTACGAACACTGAGGAGGACGGGCTGACGATGCGCCATTCACAAGGAGAGGAGGCTGTAATGAAGTGGTGTGTTTATGGTAGTACGGCTGAAGTTTGAGCATCAGAAAATTTCGTTTTATTTTCCCGAGATCAGTGAATTATGCCGTATATTACTATAAGTAAAAAAAAAATGATTTTTTTTTTCAATATAATAGTTAACCATTGGCTTTGTATTTGTGTGAAGGTTAGGTTAGGTTAGGTTAGGTTAGGTTAGGTTAGGTTAGGTTAGGTTCTGCCTTCGGTAGGTGAGGCTGTTGGAGGAATGGTGGCTGCTTTTAAATTAGATATTTTATCGGGCTACGGCTGAAATATGAATATCGGAAATATTATGACAATTTTCCCGGCATCAGTGAATAATGTTGCATATTATTATGAGAAAAAATCATTAATTTGAATTTTTGTTCTTCAAAATATTTACAGGGCTATCCGGCAGCCAGTACCTGAAATCGTCGTGGGAGTCTGAGTGCGACTCTGGCACGCTGTTCCCTTTTGAATTTTGGCGAAACCGCCGAGCCTATGTTCATCCCAGACCCCAGACCAATCCCACTGGCAATTTGTGTGAACTTAAACATCAGGCCTCCTGTGTGAACTTAACCCCAAGTGTATGGCCTCCAACATTCTCTATTATAGTAGACATCTATGTTCTTTTATTGTGGTGGTAGCAGCACCCCGCCCCACCCCTCACAGCAGCCATGACAGCACGCCACCGACAACCACAACCGCCTGATAAAAAGGTGAATGAAAGACGCGGAAGTTCTAGTGTAGTATCCTTCACCCTCCTCTCCCTCTCTTCTCTCTTCACTTCCCGCTCTTCTATCCCTCCCTCTCCTGGTTCTCCCCTCCCTCCTCTCTACTTGCCTGGCCTCCCACCCTCTAGCGAGACACAACACCTCCAGCCTCGGCACTCTCCTGACGGCTGGCGGGAGTACACAGTGTATGGACTGACCTAAAACCATGCACGTCTTACAACCATCCCCCCACCCCATCCTGACCTATAAGGCGTTCTCCATGATCCTCCGTCGAGACTAGCTGAGAGAGTGGATGAGTAACAGGTGCTAGTTAAGTTGAATATGTACAGGAAGAAAGGGTAGAAAGAGCTCAGTGCATGAACACATGCATCTAACATATGTCTTGTACACACACACACACAGATTCCCGAAGAGGAATTCCTCAGTTACAGCCCCGCTCCTGATGATGAAGATTAAGCCACCCAAAAGGTGGCACGGGCATGAATTGCCCGTAAGTGGTGGCCATTTTAAGCCATTACCAGTATCAAGAGCTGATACTGGAGATCTGTGGAGGTCCCGCTCCTGCTGTCTGTGTAGTATATATATGTAGTATGTAGTAGGGTGTTATGTCCATGTCCGTGCTCACCCCTTTTATTTTCCACAGATGATTTACACCCAAAGCACATTCGATTTAATGGTGTTGCGCTGTGCCACACTCCCATCGTTCACACCCAGTATACCCGTGCTCTAGGGCTTCAGTTTACCGCACAACAGTTTCAGTTTACCTGCAGGGAAGGTGGGCTTGGTGAGCGTGCAGCCGCCCCCCCCCCCCCCGCTCCTCCCTGGGGACCAACACGAGAGGTCTTGGCTTACCTCCCTCATTCACTCTCGGTCACATTCCATTCTAACACGAAAAAAGGAGGGGATGCCGGGGGGGGGGGGAGGGAGGGAGGGAGGGAGGGAGGGAGGGAGGGAGGGAGGGAGGGAGAGAGGGAGAGACGGAGGGAGGGAGGGAGAGACGGAGGGAGGGAGGGAGAGACGGAGGGAGGGAGGGAGAGAGGGAGAGACGGAGGGAGAGAGGGAGAGAGAGGGAGAGAGAGAGAGAGAGAGAGAGAGAGAGAGAGAGAGAGAGAGAGAGAGAGAGAGAGAGAGAGAGAGAGAGAGAGAGAGAGAGAGAGAGAGAGAGAGAGAGAGAGTGACTGTGTGGGAGACAAGCCATACAAAATATAACAATGAGAGGTAGTATATGTGAGCTATCCAATCGTCGGCATGACAAGAAGGAAGAGGTGAGAGGAAACAGGGAAGAGAGAGAGGGGGGAAGAGGAAGTAAAGGAGAGCAACTCTTAATAATCCCCATCACAAAATATATTGGTACAAATATCAGTAAATAAAATCAATGTTAGCCTAAGTGGAGACCTCGCAGTAGTCAGCAAGAACGGCACTCCGTTCTCACAGATCCACTTCGAAAGGTTCATGTCATGTGGGTGTAGAGGGGTGGGATGTTGGTGTTGGGGGGGGCGGGGGGGGGGTGAGGTAGGTGGTGGTGTGTGGATTTTCATAAACCGGTATAGCGAGAACTGACCGGTTTACTCAATAATGGCTTTTATCCGATATCAACGATAAGATCACATGAGAACACTCCGGTTTACCGAATATTGCCGTTTATCCGGAGCCGGAGGGAGTATTCTGCCAGTCAGCTGTTCGGTGTTGATGTATGGCCATATTTGACTAAGGTCACCATTCTTGACTCCCAGGTATGGGAAGAGGCGCAGAGGTTGATAAGTTGACAAGTATTTATCCTCGGTCGTGGATAGGTTAGAGCAGGTGTGGACTTGGTAAGGATGGGGGGTGCAGGTGTGGGTGGTTGTGGTGGGCAGGTGTGGGTGGGGTTGAGACACGGTTCGCGCCCCTGGGTAGGCACGACAGGTAAGGTCAGCCTCCACCTCACCTGACAGCAACACCACTCACTCCTCACGCCACCTATCGCCGCCTGCTAACATCCCCCCCCCCCCACCTCCCCACCTTCCCCCTCCCCTTTTCCTCCTCACTTCCCTTCTACCTCTTTCCTGCATTCTGCCTCCCGGACGTCAAAACACACACACACACACACACACACACACACACACACACACACACACACACACACACACACACACACACACACACACACACACACACACACACACACTAAACAACAACTTCAATATTGCCCAGTGTCCCTAAATTCAATGTCAGAGAGAGAACAATAATGAACAATGACACCATTACCAAAGCTTATTGGGGCTACAGGTACAAATCGGGTTGGCTTCGAGCTCAGCGCCTCCAGAATCATATTGAATACAGACGGATACCAGATTGTATAATCTTTAGCATAATCTTGGCCCATGGGTTAAGGCGCGCGTCCTGGGCTTAAACCAGGACGCTGGTTCGATCCCCCGCCCTGATCCAAACATTTCCTCACGAATACATCACGTCGTTATGATATCATTCTGACCCAGTCGTGTCAGCCTCGCATGGCGGAATTGGGTATGTACATAACTCGGCCCAGCTGACCGTTTTCTGTGAGAAATGTTGCTGAAGTGTTAGCGGTTTTCTGGCGAGTGTGAGGCATAATGAGGGTGACAGCGACTCAAGGTGAATGATGAGGATTTTGTGAATAGTGCATTGTTCATTGATTCATGAGTATCATTATTATTATTTGATGTGTGGCCGATTGTCACATTGAGTTTGGTTTTATTACAAGTCAGAAATAGTATTATTATAAAATATTTATAATTTATAAAGTAGGCTACATTTACTGTAGCCTACGTTATTGCTA